TGTTGAACTTCATTTTGTTAGTTTTGGCCCATCTCTCTAGTTTGTATTAATGGCCTTAGACCAGCAAGCTGAAACTAAACCCAGACAAGTCAGGGGTGCTTTGAATGCAATATTCCTGCTTCTTTGCAGGGGGTTGGACTGGATGGCCCATGAGGTCTCTTCCAACTCTATGATTCCGTGATTCTATATACTGCCCTCTTGTGGTTGCCCCTGAGCTCTGCATACATGAATCCATACCTGGAGGTAAATAGTTAATTCTTTTCTATCTATCTATTGCCCTCTAGTGGCAGCCTCTGAGCACGACATACATATTTTAACTTATTGGGGCTCCTATCACAAAGTGGGGTGGTTTTTTAAAGTCGAAACATGTCAATTATTTTAAGTTGTGTAATGAGGGGGCTATGTGCCACGTTTGGTCCAGATCCATCTAGCCATGGAGGAGCCTTTGTGGATCAAACCAAACAACAAACACACATACTTTGAATTTTATGTGGCCATCTGTTGGGGGTGCTTTGAATGCAGTTTTCCTGAAACTCTAAGATTCTATGATTCAAATTTCCTTTTTAAAGCAGAGGTACATTGAATTTTGATGCTTTTGATACTTTGTAATTTGGCACAATTTTTTAAAAAAGTTTTTTGTTTGAGAACCAATGCTCTAGTCCAGCATCTTTAAATTTGTTGTTGAAGGCTTTCATGGACGGAATCACTGGGTTGCTGTGAGTTTCCTGGGCTGTATGGCCATGTCCCAGAAGCATTCTCTGTGTGATGTTTACATATCTGTGGATGCCCACATCTGTGGCAGGAATCCTCAGAGGTTAAAGGATCTGTTGGAAACTAGGCAAGTGATGTTTAAATATCTGAAATGATGTCCAGGGTGGGAGAAAGAGCTCTTGGCTGTTGGAATTGGCCACAATGATTAGCCTTGAATAGCCTTGCAGCTTTCTGCCTGAGGGAATCCTTTGTTGGGAGGTATTAACTGGCCCTGGACGTGTATATATCTGTGGAATAACGTCCAGGGTGGGAGAAAGAATTCTTGATTGTTGGAGGCAAGTGTGAATGTTGCAGTGGACAACCTTGATTAGCCTTGAATGGCCTTGCAGCTTTCTGCCTGGGGTAATCCTTTGTTGGGAGGTATTAACTGGCCCTGGAAGTGTATATATCTGTGGAATAACGTCCAGGGTGGGAGAAAGAATTCTTGATTGTTGGAGGCAAGTGTGAATGTTGCAATGGACAACCTTGATTAGCCTTGAATAGCCTTGCTTATTTCTGCCTGGGGGAATCCTTTGTTGGGAGGTATTAACTGGCCCTGATTGTTTCTTGTCTGGAAGTGTATATATCTGTGGAATAACGTCCAGGGTGGGAGAAAGAATTCTTGACTGTTGGAGGCAAGTGTGAATGTTGCAATGGACAACCTTGATTAGCCTTGAATAGCCTTGCTTATTTCTGCCTGGGGGAATCCTTTGTTGGGAGGTATTAACTGGCCCTGATTGTTTCTTTTCTGGAAGTGTATATATCTGTGGAATGACGTCCAGGGTGGGAGAAAGAATTCTTGACTGTTGGAGGCAAGTGTGAATGTTGCAATTGACTACCTTGATTAGCCTTGAATGTCCTTGCAGCTTCAGAGCCTGGCTGCTTCCTGTCCGGGAAATCCTTTGTTGGGCGATATTAGCTGGCCCTGATTGTTTCTTGTCTTGAATTCCTCTGTTTATTTTAATGGTTCTGGATCATTAATGTTTCCCAGGACCATTAAAGTATCCAAGGTTGACTCAACCAAGTGTTTGGGGAAAGTCTGCTCATGTGAGCAATTGTTAACTACTGAATGAAAGGGCTTCCATGAAACTATAACTCTCTTTGGTGATGACAAAAAGTGATACCACCAGATTGAAACTATTTCCTTCTGAGCATAGGAGGTCTTTTGCCACCCACAGCGAAGGATGAGGGGAGACCCCTCCCTGATTATAGCAGGCCAATTAGTCTGTCTAATTGCCTTTTTTCACTAATGCCATAATAACCTTAAGATTGACTTAAACTGATCCTCCTTTGTGATGTGTGAATGCTCTGAAGAAGGGGTGCATTGTGCCACAGGCTTGTAATTTTATTTAAAAGGCTGCAACTGTGTGGGAACATTCGTCCCACCCATCCCACCCCAAATTTCTCACATCCTTCATCCTAAAATGCTGAAATTAAACCCGCTCACTTTGATTTGCTTGCTTCTCTCTTAAATTCCACTTCTAAGACCATATGGCTGGCTCCCTTAAATGCCTGCAACTTGCCCTCTCTACTTGCGATGGAAAAATATATATGGAAATATTTGAAAAGTGGTCCAAAAATGAGTTTCTTCAGTGTCAGGAAACACTGATGAGGAGAATATTCACACTTTTAGTTGACCCCCATATCTGTCAGGGATATGCTTATGGACTTATTAGGGAGATGTGAAACGATCAATAACAGAGAACCTTATTGAAGGTTGATAATAGAGTCATGGTGAAAGACCTAGAAAATGTCTAGACCAGCGTTTCTCAACCTGGAAGTCGGGACCCATAGGGGGGCTGCAAGGGGGTGTCAGAGGGGTCACCAAAGACCATCAGAAAACACAGTATTTCCTGTTTGTCATGAGGAGTTCTGTGTGGGAAGTTTGGGGACCAATTGTCTCTTTGGTGGGGTTCAGAATGCTCTTTTTTTGTAGGTGAACTATAAATCCCAACAACTACAATTTCTAAATGTCAAATTTATTTTCCCCAAACACCGCCAGTGTTCACATTTGGGCATATTCAGTATTCGTGCCAGGTTTGGTCCAGATCCATCATTGTTTGAGTCCACAGTGCTCTCTGGATGTAGGTGAACTACAACTCCAAAACCAAAGGACGCTGCCCACCAAACCCTTCCAGTATTTTCTGTTGGTCATGGGAGAACTGTGTGCCAAGTTTGGTTCAATTCCATCATTGGTGGGGTTCAGAATGTTCTTAGATTGTAGGTGAACTATATATCCCAGCAACTACAACTCCCAAATGACAAACCCAATCCTCCCTTCAACACTACCAGTATTCAAATTTAGGTGTATAAAGTCTTTGTGCCAAATTTGGTCACACTGTGTCCAATTCTGGGCACTGCAGTTGAAGGGAGATGTTGACTCTAAGCTGGAAGGTGTCTAAAGTAAGAGGGAGACTCAAAGGACCAAGGTTCTGGAGAACAAGCCCTATGAAGACAGAGTGGCTGAAGGAGCTGGGCCTGTTTAGCCTGCAGAAGAGAAGGCTGAGAGGAGACATGATGAGGGCCATGTGTAAGTCATAGGGAGGGGAAGTCATAGGGAGGAGGGAGGAAACCCGTTTTCTCCTGCTCTAGAAACTAGAACGTGGAACAATTATTATTATTATTATTAACTTTATTTATACTCCGCTAAAATCTCCCGAAGGACTCGATGCGGCTTACAAAGGCCAAGGCCACCAACAAAACAACAGCATACAAATACAACAGTAAAACTCATAAAGCAAATAATAAAACATCAAGCAAAACAATAAAACACTAAAAACAATGACACATGACGCATTTAAAACCTAAAGCCGGACCAATGTAATGGACAAAATTTAAAAAGTGCTGGACTTGACAGGTGATATGTAGAGGTTTTTGGAGGTAGGTGCAATGTGCAGACAATCCTAAATCTCTAACAAAGTGCATTTGGGACATGATGCTAGGAGTTTCCTATTCTGGAAAGGCACACTGGAACAGCCAGGTCTTCAGGCTCTTCCTAAAGACTGCCAGCGTTGGGGCTTGTCTGATGTCCTTGGGGAGAGAGTTCCAGAGTCGGGGGGGTGGGGGGGCACCACAGAGAAGGCCCTGTCCCTCGTCCCCACCAAACGCGCTTGCAACGCAGGTGGGATCGAGAGCAGGGCCTCTCCAGATGATCGAAGGGAACGTATGGGTTCATATAAGGAGATGCGGTCACACAGGTAGGCGGGTCCCAAACCGTTTAGGGCAGTGGTTCTCAACCTTTCTAATGCCGTGACCCCTAAATATAGTTCCTCACGTTGTGATGACCCCCAAACATAAAATTATTTTGTTGCTACTTCTATTACTGTTACGAATTGTAATGTTAGTATCTGATATGCAGGATGCGTTTTTATTGTTAAAAATTGAACATACTTAAAGCATAGTGATTCATCACAAAATGTATGGAGAGCCCAAAAGGAGAGGAGGAGGAAGAAGAGCCCAAAGTAGAGGGACGAAGGCAGGCCTTGCTGGCATCTCTGTCCTTGGGGGCCCGGCAGCCATTGCAGGGAGGCTGAGGGGGTGGGGCCAAAGGAGGTGGTATCGCAACCCCTTGGAAATGGCCAATCAACCCTTCTGGGGGTCGCAACCCCCAGGTTGAGAACCGCTGGTTTAGGGCTTTGTAGGTAAGCACCTGCACCTTGAATTGGGACCGGAAGATGAACGACAGCCAGTGGAGGTCCTTAAACAGGAGAGTTGACCTCTTTCTGTAAGGAGCACCAGTTAACAACCTGGCCGCCGACCATTGGACCAGTTGGAATTTCCGAGCCATTTTCAAGGGCAGCCCCACGTAGAGTGCATTACAGTAATCCAATCTAGAGGTGACCAAGGCATGGACCACAATGGCTTCAAACCACAGGAAAGGAGATTCCACCTGAACATTAGGAAGAACTTCCTAACAGTGAGAGCTGTTTAGCAGTGGAACTCTCTGCCCCAGAGTGTGGTGGAGGCTCCTTCTTTGGAGGCTTTTAAACAGAGGCTGGATGGCCATCTGTGGGGTGCTTTGAATGCAATTTTCCTGCTTCTTGGCAAAGGGTTGGACTGGATGGCCCATGAGGTCTCTTCCAACTCTAGGATTCTATGATTCTTGGGGAGGAGGTCTTTCATTTCAGTAGGGCTCACTCTTATCTGGGGCTTAAATAACTGCACAAAGTTGGGGATGTAATTCTAATCTGTGTCCAGAAGATAGCCTATTGATGTTCCTTGTAACCAAAGGACTGTCTTCTTTCCTTTAGGAAAGTCCCACCTGGCCATTGTCCAAAAGGTGAACAACGAAGGCGAAGGCGACCCCTTCTACGAAGTGCTGGGCCTGGTGACGTTGGAAGACGTGATCGAGGAGATCATCAAGTCAGAGATCCTGGATGAATCCGACATGTACAGTTAGGTTCACTGCAGATCTTCCATAGCTATTTTGGGAGGGCCAGACAGAAGAAAACAAATGCAGTAAAACCTCGACTTAGGAGGAACCCAACGTGCGGGTTTTTCAAGATAAATTTTTACTTTGAGTTACGAGGTAGCTCTGAGTTACGAGGTAGCACAAGAGGTAGAGGCTAGCACGAGAGTGCACCACGAAAGCACGCCGCCAGAGCTTCAAAGGAAAGTGTCTTGTTTATTGGTCCCAGATTGCATTGATACAGACCTGTTTGTTTGTTTATTTGTTTATTTATATCCCGCTTTATCTCTCCATATGGAGACTCAAAGCAACTCACAATTAAAACCATTAAAATAGAACTTCAAATATACGAATATACAATAATAAAACAATATTATCACCACCATGTCAGACTACACAGAGAAGCCATTGAAATCCACAAGCATGTGGACAATTTCAACAGAAAGGAGGAAACCATGAAAATGAACAAAATCTGGCGACCAGTATTAAAAAACTAAAAAATTACAACAGCAAAACAACAGAAGGGAAACAATGGACGTCTAGTCACCTCTCAACAAAAGATTGCTCCAGGCAATGCTAAGCAAGGTGATCAGTTGAAACATTCACACCTAGCTCAGCAGACAATAGTCCTTTGTCCTACCCTGGTCTTTCCACGTATATATAAACTCTTTTTCCTACTTCCAACAGACCTCACTACGTCTGAGGATGCTTGCCATAGATTCAGGCGAAACGTCAGGAGAGAATGCCTCTAGAACATGGCCATATAGCCCGAAAAACCTACAACCCTATTATCATTATATATTATTACATATTGTCAGTAGTATTATAATTATTGTATTAGTATTATTATATTACATATAATTATCAATATTATATGTATATACAATATATTGTATTATTAGCATAGCACAATATTAGTATTATATATTATTATATTAGGTGGCGCAGCAGGTTAAACCGCTGAGTTGTTGAAGTTGCTGACTAAAAGGTCGGCATTTTGAATCCGGGGAGCAGGGTGAGCTCCCACTGTTAGAACCAGCTTCTGCCAAACTAGCAGTTTGAAAACATGCGGTATCAATAGGTACTGCTTCTGTGGGAAGGTAACTGCATGCCATGCAGTCATGTTGGCCACATGACCTAGGAGGCGTCTATAGACAACGCTGGCTCTTTGGCTTCGAAATGGAGATGCGCACAACCCCCAGAGTCGGACGCAACTAGACCTAATGTCAGGGGAAACCTTTCCCTTTATTTTACTAATTATTATATTGTACTATACTGTACTCTACTGCAATATTATAAGTAATATTATTATGGAGCCGTGGTGGCGCAATGGGTCAAACCCCTTGTGCTGGCTGAACTGCTGACCTGAAGGTTCGCAGTTCGAATCTGCGAGACAGAGTGAGCTCCGTCTGACAGGTCCAGCTTCTCATGCAGGGACATGAGAGGTAACTCATCCAGGCGTCCCCTGGGCAATGTCTCTGCAGACGGGCAATTCTTTCACACCAGAAGGAACTTGCTGTTTCTCAAGTCACTTCTGACATGAAAAAAGTAATATAATATATAATTATTATATTATTATATATTATTATATTGTACTATATAATCCATATAATATACCACCTATGTCAAAACAGTTGATAAGGAGGGACAGGAAGATGACCTTCAAGAAAGATTGCAGTGGCTTTCTTTTTATGTTGCCTTAAATTACAGAAAGGCCCACTCTGACCCTTTTTCTAGACTGTTGTAGATGTTATGTTGTGTTTAGACTAGGCATGGGTAAACTTTGGCCCTCCAGGTGTTTTGGACTTCAATTCCCACAATTCCAGTAGGCTGTTAGGAATTGTGGGAATTGAAGTCCAAAACACCTGGAGGGCCAAAGTTTGCCCATGCCTGGTTTAGACTCTTCTTGGTAAATTTAGGAACTAAAAATAAATAATTATTTATATCCAAGGTGCATTTTAATAACAATTCCAACTCTTAAGTCAAGGTATTTTTATTTATTTCTCGTGTCAGGAGGAACCAGACAGTTAAAAACAAACAAACAAACAGACAAAACACAAAGTTTGCAAGCTTGGTAGTTGATTAAATGTCCTTTGACCAGTATCTGGCCACTTGGAGTGCCTCTGGTGTTGCACAAGGAAGGTCCTCCATTGTGCGTGTAGCAGGGCTCAGGTTGCATTGCAGCAGGTGGTCAGTTGTTTGCTCTTCTCTGCACTCGCATGTCGAGGATTCCACTTTGTAGCCCCATTTCTGGAGGTTGGCTCTGCATCTCGTGGTGCCAGAGCGCAGTGTGTTCAACGCCTTCCAAGTTACCCAGTTTTCTGTGTGCCCGGGGGGAGTCTCTCATTTGGTATCAGCCATTGATTGAGGTTCTGGGTTTGAGCCTGCCACTTTTGGACTCTCGCTTGCTGAGGTGTTCCAGCGAGTGTCTCTGTAGATCTTAGAAAACTATTTCTTGATTTAAGTTGTTGATGTGCTGGCTGATACCCAAACAAGGGATGAGCTGGAGATGTCACTGCCTTGGTCCTTTCACTATTGGCTGCTACTTCCCGGCAGATGTCAGGTGGTGCAATACTGGCTAACAGTGTAATTTCTCCAGTGGTGTAGGCGCAGACACCCCGTGATAATGCGGCATGTCTCATTAAGAGCCACATCCACTGTTTTAGTGTGGTGAGATGCATTCCACACTGGGCATGCATACTCAGCAGCAGAGTAGCATAGCGCAAGGGCAGATGTCTTCACTGTGTCTGGTTGTGATCCCCAGGTTGTGCCAGTCAGCTTTCGTATGATATTGTTTCTAGCACCCACTTTTTGCTTGATATTCAGGCAGTGCTTCTTGTAGGTCAAGAGCACGGTCCAGAGTGACTCCCAGGTATTTGGGTGCGCTGCAATGCTCCAGTGGGATTCCTTTCCAGGTAATCCTCAGAGCTCGGGATGCTTGTCTGTTCTTAAGGTGAAAAGCACATGTCTGTGTTTTAGATGGATTAGGGATCAGCTGGTTTTCCCTGTAATAGGCAGTAAGAGCACCTAGAGCTTCGGAGAGCTTCTGTTCAACCATCTCAAAGCTCCCTGCTTGAGCGGTGATGGCACGATCATCAGCATAGATGAAGCTCTCTGTCCCTTCTGGCAGTGGCTGGTCATTTGTGTAGATGTTGAACATGGATGGAGCAAGCACGCTCCCCTGAGGCAGGCCGTTCTTCTGTTTCCGCCATCTGCTTCTCTGGCCCTGGAACTCAACAAAAAAGCTCCTGTTTTGTAGCAGGCTTTCCTATGAGGCGGGTGAGGTGGTAGTCCTTTGTGATATTATACATTTTTCTCAGGAGGAGGCAGTAGTTTACAATATCATAAGCTGCTGACAGGTCTATTAAGTCAAGGTATAACTGTATTTGAGAGAGGTATGTAAACAATTCTGGATTTCTGAGTACAGTCGTCCTTCCAGACTTGCAGTTTTGACTTTTGTGGATTATAGATGCATGGAGGGAATATTGGCCCATCCCATTTTCATGCATTGAAGGGCTGGCTTGTTCTTTGTCGGGGCTCTTTATTTTAACCCCTTGTGTCCCCCTTCCGCTGCAGCTGACAACCGCTCCAGAAAGAAAGTGAATAACCAAAAGAATAAGAGGGACTTTTCTGCCTTCAAGGACAATGACACAGAGTCCAAGGTGAAGATCTCGCCCCAGCTGCTCTTGGCTGCTCACCGTTTCCTCTCTACAGGTAAGAGACCCTTTAAGACAGTGGTTCTCAACCTTGCTAATGATGCGACCCCTTAATGCAGTTCCTCATGTTGTGCTGACCCCATCCATAACATTATTTTCGTTGCTACTTCATAACCGTCATTTCGCAACTGTTATGAATTGTAATGTAAATATCTGACATGCAGGATGTATTTTTATTCACTGGACCCAATTTGGCACAAATACCCGATTTGCTCAAATTTGAATTGGGGTTGGGAGCGGGGATTGATTTTGTCATTTGGGAGTTGTAGTTGCTGGGGTTTATAGTTCACCTACAATCAAAGAGCATTCAGAATTCCACCAGCGATGAAACCAATCTTGGCACACAGAACTGCCATGACCAACAGAAAATACTGGAAGGGTTTGGTGGGCATTGACCTTGAGTTTTGGCGTTGTAGTTCGCCTACATCCAGAGAGCACTATGGACTCAAAACAATGATAGATCTGGACCAAACTTGGCAGCAATACTCTGTACGCCAAAATGAGAACACTGGTGGAGTTTGGGAAAAACAGATCATGACATTTGGGAGTTGTAGTTGGTGTGACTTATAGTTCACCTACAGTCAAAGTGTTGCTCTCCAGGTCAGGAAGAAGCCCTCTGACTTTAAAACATCACATGAAGAGTGAAGAAACAAATCGTCTTTTATTGAAGCTTGGTGAATAGGCAGAAGAAATAAATGATTGTAAGAAAATAAGAAGGTTCCAAAAAAGTAATAAGTCCATAAAAAGCAGTAACACAAAACAAAGTCCACACAAGTAATAATAGCAATCCAAGAAAGCATTAATCCAGAGAGGAATCACACAGGATGCAAAGACAATCCAAAAGACAAACTTCACAGGAACAAGACCCCTTGAACAGGATTTCCATGGCACATGAACTTGGTTTCCAAACGATGCCTGATCTAACAGGTTTTCCCTTGAGGCAAACTTTTTATCCCAAAACTCATGAATTGGTTTTGCCATCATTGTTTGAGTCCACAGTGCTTTCTTGAGGAAGGTGAACTACAACTCCAAAACTCAAGGTCAATGCCCACCAAACCCTATTAGTGTTTTCTGTTGGTCATGGGAGTCCTGTGTGCCAAGTTTGGTTCAATTCCATTGTTGGTGGAGTCCAGAATGCTCTTTGATTATAGGTGAACTATAAATCCCAGCATCTACAACTCCCAAATGACAAAATCATAACTTTTTGAGTGATGGTCACTCCTTGTGTTATGAGATATTTTGTTGGCAAATTTGGTGTGATTTCATTCATTGGTTCTTTTGTTTTTAAGGTACTCATTACGCACAGAGCATTTTTATATATATAGATAGTTGTGGAGTGTGGAAGGGCCACTGCATGGAGTTTCCCTATTTGGTTGTATCTGGCATTTTTGTATTGGATTTCTTTGCAGAGGTGAACCCATTCAGTCCGGCCCTCATTTCGGAAAAGATCCTCCTGCGTCTGCTCAAACACCGCGACGTCATCAATGAGCTGAAGTTTGACGAAGAGAACAAGAAGGCGCCCCAGCACTTCCTCTTTAACCAGAACAAGCCGGCTGACTACTTTATCCTCATCCTTCAGGTAGGCCCATCTTCTTTACTTCAATTTACCAAAGTCAAGGGATTGACTTTGCAAAGAGGGAAGTTGACTTCAGTATCAACCAGTAGATGGCTTTATATTGAGTACAGCCCTCAGCTGGAGATGCGAGTGTAAGAGCGAGCCTTTGAGGTCAAACTGGATCATAGAATTGCACTGGAGAACCTACAAAAGTCTAGCATTTTATTTGGCCAGGTGTAGGACAGTGTTGGAGGCAGTAACAAATGCAGCAGTCTGAGGATAATTACCGTATATACTCAAGTATAAGCCAAGGCACCTAATTTTACCACAAAAAGCTAGGAAAATGCATTGACTTGAGTATAAGTCAGTGGTGGGAAATGCAGCAGCTACTGGTAAAATTCAAAATAAAAATAGATACCAATAAAATTACATTAATTGAGGCATCAGGAGGTTCATTGTTTTTGAATATTTACCGAATTAAAAAAAAAAACCCAGTAAACTCTGTAAGTGGAAAAGGAAGTCAACAAAAACAATATGGTATCAACAATAACTTAATAATAATAGTAATAATAATAATACTTCATTTGTATCCCATCCTATTTCCCTCTGGGGACTCAGGCCGGCTTCCAACATAGTAAAAGGCAAAGATTCAATGCCTATATAAATAATGCAGTGGTCGATATAGAGCTATTTATTTATTTACAGCTTTTATATTCCGCCCTTCTCACCCCGCAGGGGACTCAGGGCGGATTACAGTGTACATATATGGCAAACATTCAATGCCAATTTTGACATACAAACATATACAGACATACACAGAGGCTATTTAACTTTTTCTGGCCGCCAGGGGAGTTGTCGCTTTCATCGTCCATCTGCGACGCTGATGAAGCACTTCCGCATTCCCCGCATGCTTCCCCTTGGAATGCTTTGCTGGAGTCTTCTTTATGGCCTCATAAATCAGTTAATTTAGCCTCCCCACACTTTAAGGTGGTACCTTATTTTCCTACTTGACAGATGCAACTGTCTTTCGGGTTGCAAAGGTCGACAACAGGCTACACACAATTGGTTGGAAACCCACTCCAACCCGGGCTGGCTTCGAACTCATGACCTTTTTTTGGTCAGAGTGATCTTAATGCAGCTGACACTCAGCCAGCTGCGCCACAATCCCGGTGCAATTAAATATATTAATTTCACATATGTATTTCCCCCTGAAACATTTGCAAATCCCTCTCTGTATATATGCACTTTCCTCCCTCAATATTTGCAAGCCATATATATCTATATTCACATGTATTTCCCCCTATAATATTGGCAAGCCCTATATATCTATATTCATATCTATCTATCTGTCTATCTATCTATCTAGATATCTCTCTATATATAGATAATTATATCTATATAGGATTTGCAAAGACTTGCAAACATGTGAGAGTAAAATTCATGTATAAAATTATTTTTATGTATAGCATATACATACATATACACAGAGATATACAGGTCCCTTTATATATTTATAGATACCGATATATATTGTTGTTTTAATTGTTATAACTGTTTAACTGCTTTTTTTATACGTTTATTGTATTATTGTGTAGGCATTGAATTGTGCCATTGTGTAAGCCGCCCTGAGTCTCCCCTCGGGGGTTGAGAAGGGCGGGGTAGAAGTATACGAAATAAATAATAATAATAATAATAATAATAATAATAATAATAAATAATAATCTGTGTAGGATTTGCAAAGACTTGCAAATATGTGAGGGTAAAATTCATATATAAAATTATTTTTATGTATAACATATACATACACACACAGAAAGATATACAGGCCCCTCTATATATTTATATTTATAGATATCGATATCTGTATATGATTTGCAGAGGCTTGCAAACATGTGATGGGAAAATTCATATATATAAAAATGAATACATATATAGATATACAGGTACATGAAAATCTCTAGATATCTATATGTATATATTGTTGTTTATTCGTTCAGTCACTTCCAACACTCCTGGACCAGCCCACACCAGAGCTCCCTGTTGGCCGTGGCCATCCCCAGCTCCTTCAAAGCCAGTCATTTCAAGAATACCAACCATCCATCTTGCCCTTGGTCTGCCTATTTGTATATAAGATTTGCAAAGACCTGCAAACATATGAGGGGAAAATTAATACATAAAATTAATCTATATAGATAGATAAATACAGATATATAGGTACATAGGGATTGCAAAGGCTTGCATGGGGAAGGGAAAAATGCATATATAAAGTTAATACATTTAGATACACCAAAAAAAGGCCAGGGTGGGTTTGAAAGAGAGCCATACAAACAAGGAGGACATGGAATATATCTCCTTTCCCTCCCTTTTGACTAGAAAAGAAAGCACACTGTTAAGTGAGATAAGAGGAGAGATTAATATATCCTATATTGCAAGCAATGGCCTCCAGGCTCCGCTGCCCGGCTTGACCCCATTATAAGCCAAGGGAAGCTTTTTTAGCTCAAAAAAAGATGAAAAAAAACTCAGCTTATCTTCAAGTATATATGGTAAATCTTAGAATGGTTAACTTGCAAATGTGGAATGAGATTTGTATAATATACACTGCATGTAATAAGACTTGGTTCATATATGTTTAAGACTGGGTTCCACATTTAAACCTTTTGGTAGTGCTTTGCCTCTTAGCCCATTGAATAGGCAGATAATGCTTGTAACTATTCACTTAGTACTTCAGTAACTCAGTGCAAGAACTATTAACTTGGTTCCATCAACTCAGACTTTTGCACCGTAGAACTTCCTGGCCTCTTGGGGTTCTCCAATTGTTCTGTTCTCTTTCTCCTTCTTACAGGGCAAAGTAGAGGTAGAGGCTGGCAAGGAGAACATGAAATTTGAGACGGGACCTTTTTCCTATTATGGGGTGATGGCTTTGAACCCAATAGTCTCCACAAGTAAGTGTTCTGCTATCAAGGGAGCCAAAGGGCAAGAGTGCTGTCGACTCCCATTTCCATAAGATCCAGACAGCCTGATCATTGTTGAATGGTGGACATTATAGTCTCACAATATCTGTGTCACCTTTTCCAGATCCAATGGATGTGGTTCAGAAAGAGAAGGTGTGGTGATACTTGTGAGTGTGTAGGGAATGAAGCAAGAGAGATTGGTCAAGTAGTGTCTTAAGGGAGCAGGAAGATCAAGAAGAAGAGTAATGTCTGATCAAAATCTCTTAGGTTTTGCAGTTTTGCTTCCGTAGTTCATCTCTAGTAGTGTTCACCAGAAGAGCATTTGTGGAGCAATCAAATGGAGGTAATGGGCCAAGAGTCAGGAATGGGAGGGGGAAAGAAAGCATTGGGAAAGCAGGGAATCCCCATCAACAGTTGATGCAATGTGTGGATTGCAGTTGACCATTGCTGTTTCGACAGGCCTTTGGTTTTAATATTGCTGTTTTTAAATTGTGTTAGATTTTAGCCATTCTTGTAAGCCGCTCCGAGTCTCAGGGGAATGGCATATAAGTTCGAATAATAAATAAATAAATAAATAAATAAATATTTAGCAGTTTTGTATACCGGTCTTCTCACCTCCGTTCGAGGGACTCAGGCCGGTTTCCAACATCAATATTACAGACAGTCATTAAAACATCATATTCTAAATCACACTAAAACATTAAAATAGCAAAATACAATCATATAATTACAGTGGTCAGTTGTCATCAAAAATCATTATTCGTCGTCATCCATCCATATCACAGGATCATGGCTCATTCGTCGAATGCCAATCCCCAAAGCCAAGTTTTCACCTGTTTCCTGAACGTTAAGATAGAAGGGGCAGTTCTGATCTCCAGTGGAAGGGAGTTCCAGAGTCGAGGGGCCACCACCGAGAAGGCCCTGTCTCTCGTCCCCACCAGCCGCGCCTGTGAGGCCGGTGGGATCGAGAGCAGGGCCCCTCCAGACGATCTTAGCAATCTTGATGGTTCATAGGAGAGGATATGTTCGGACAGGTAAATTGGGCCGGAGTCGTTTAGGACTTTATAGGTTAACACCAGCACTTTGAATTGTTCTTGGAAGCTGACTGGCAGCCAGTGGAGCTGGCGCAACAGAGGAGTAGTATGCTCCCTGTACCCCGCTCCTGTTAGTAGTCTGGCTGCCGCATGTTGGACTAATTGACGCTTCTGGGCAGTCTTCAGAGGCAACCCCATGTAGAGAGCATTGCAGTAAGCTAAACGGGATGTAACCAAAGCGTGGACCACCGTGGCCAAGTCAGACTAATAATAAATAAATAAATAAATAAATAAATAATAAACAAGAAATGTTGAGTAAGTGGGCTTATTAACAAAAGACCCTCCTCATAAATGCATCAGCAGTAGTGATAAAAAGAACAAAAACACAGAGACCAATGTTATCTCTTCCTTAGGAGGCTTTTCTTTATAGCAAAATAATATAGTTGTACTATTTACAAGAACAAGGTTTCCATAACACAAATAAAGTTCTTTATTCTTCCTTCTTTGTTTCTCCACTGGGCTTCTTTCTCAGCAGATTATTATTATTATTATTATTATCTTTATTTGTACCCCGCTAACATCTCCCGAAGGACTCAGTGCGGCTTACAAAGGCCAAGGCCCTCAATAAAACAACAGCATAACAAATACAACACTAAAACTCATAAAGCAAATCAATAAACATTAAAGCAGTAACAATAAAAACATTAAAACAATACATCATGATGCATTTAAACTAGGGCTGGGCCTAATGTAATGACTAAAATTAAAAGTGCTGGACATGACAGGGGAAATGTAAGGATTTTAGGGTAGGTGCAATGTGCAGACAATCTTAAATCTCTAATAAAGTGCGTTTGGGACATGATGCTGGGAGTTTCCTATTCTGGAAAGGCACACTGGAACAGCCAGGTCTTTTATGAGGAGGGTCTTCCTAAAGACTGCCAATGTTGGGGCTTGTCTGATGCCCTTGGGGAGAGAGTTCCAGAGTCGGGGGGCTACCACAGAGAAGGCCCTGTCCCTCTTCTCCAGCAAACACGCTTGCGATACAGGTGGGATCGTGAGCAGGGCCTCTCCAGATGAGTGGAGGGATCGTGTGGGTTCATATACGGAGATGCAGTCCCAAACCGTTTAGGGCTTTGTAGGTGAGCACCTGCACCTTGAATTGGGACCGGAAAATGAACGGCAGCCAATGGAGCTCCTTAAACAGGAGGGTTGACCAGATGAACAGCTTTGCTCTCACAGAGCCTCTTCTTATGCCAAAGTTGCACAGTAACTTCACATAGTAGCTTTATACATGATGGTTTTCTCTCACCAAAGTTTCTCACACACCAGGCCTCCTCACACCAAGGCCTACTAACACGCTGAGGCCTACCTCACAGACTGAGGCCTTTGTCCTACTGAGGGTTCTCTCACTGAGGGCTTTCTCCCACTGAGACAAACTAAAACTGAGGCCTTCTCATACTGTAGCCCACTAACACACTGAGACCCTTCTCCCACAGAGACCTCTCACAGATTGACAACTACCTTAGACTGAGACCTGTCATACTGAGGCCTCTCTCACTAAGGTCTACTAACACCGAGGGCTTCCTCAGGGCTTGACTCACATTTTTGTAATGAAAAACACCAAGCTAATTTTTAATATTTCTAACAAGAGAGGCCACTGAAAAGAGTGGGAAGCAGAGACAAGGAAGAGAAGACAAAGAAGGACAGCTAATGGGAAGGACAACAATAGAGACCTTGGGGTGTAATTGACAAAGCAAGGGAAAATGTGGAAAGGGTGAGCAGAGGAAGATAAGGAAAGGGCAGGCCCAGTGGTATTTCATTATGAGCGAGAACAAGATGAAGAAAGAGTCCATGCAAGAGCCAATCCAGAGCAAAGGTTGAAGGAAGGAGTCAAGAGGAAAGGAGATGCAATCAAAGGGATTGTGACCATGACTGTCAAAATATCCCAGGAGGGAAATAGCTGGTGGGCTTGGGTTTGAGTGTGTGGTCAGAAAGGGAACAGGCTGGAGCCATAGAGTTGGAAGAGGATTCAAGGGCCTTGCAGTCTGTCACGTTGCTAGGGCTCTACCTTATTTAGGTAGAGATTAACCAAACTCCCAGGTTTATCAAGCAGTTTAATTAACACAGCACTTCCTTGCTGGCTGTTTTTATAGTCCAAAATATAAAACACAAATATAGCATGCAGCTACAGAATAAACAAAAACTGATAGCAAAAATAACTTCATAGTCAAAAGGGTCCAGTTCAGTGGTCAGATGCCGAGGGTTCAATAAACAAAGTCCAGGGATCAAGAGTCTATTCCGTAGTCAAAAGCCAATCCAAAGGTTCAAAGTTCCAGGGTTCCAAGATTACAGGAGACAGGTCAGGATACCAAAAATCTAACAGACCAGGGGGAAAAACCAGCAGCATCCACCACCAAAATACAACAGATACTTTTCTGCCAAAGATCAGTCCCAAGGTTAGCTCCTTAAATCCAGTAACACCCAGCTGCAACCCATCTCCTGCACACCTTCACCTCTAACTGCTTTCACCCATGAACTCCCACTTACAAATCACCAAACCCTCTAGAACTAATACTCACATTAACCCTTCCATCACCAACCACCATCAACTGCAGACCATATGACACAGTCCAACCCCATTCGGCCAGGGAGGAGCACAAAATCCAAGCCCTCTCAATAGATGACTGTCCAGCTTCTGCTTAAAAACCTCAAAAGCAGCAGACTCCATCACACTCAGCAAGCAGGAGGTTCTGATGCAAAAGTTGAGAGGGGGCAGACCGCGAGACAATAAGAGAAAGATAGCACAGGGAGGACACTTGATATGGTGCTTTCAGTATTCTCATATAGATACGTCTCATATAGACTGCTACAATGCGCTCTACGTGGGGTTGCCTTTGAAGACTGTTCAGAAGCTTCAACTAGTTCAGTGTGCAGCAGCCAGATTTCTAACAGGAGCAGCATACAAGGAGCACGCAACCACCCTGTTGTGCCAGCTCCACTGGCTGCTGGTTTGCTACCAAGCACAATTCAAAATGCTGGCTTTGACCTATAAGGCCCTGAACTTCCCACCCAACCAGAAAAAAACCAAATACTTGCCCAACTTACCTGTCCGAATGCATCTCCCTCTATGAATCATCACAGAGGTTAAGATCTTCTGGGGAGGCCCTGCTCTCGGTCCCACCACCTTTGCAGGCATGACTGGTGGGGCCAAGAGACAGGGCCTACTTAGTGGTGGCCACTTGGATGTGGAACTCTCTCCCTAGTGGGATTCAATCAGCCCCTTCCCTCCTGTCATTTCACAAACAAGTGAAAACTTGTCTTTGGGAGCAAGCATTTGGCCCAGCATCTGTTCAATATAGTTGGAATTGATCCAGGATTTATGAATGTTATTATTTGATTATCTGACTTTCGATCTATGCACAATAGTCTTCTAATGTTTACATATGTTGTTTTAATGTTTTAATTGTTGTTTAATTGCTTTTAATTGTTGTTGTTGTTTGGGCATTGAATAATGCCAATTTTGTAAGCCGCCCTGAGTCCCCTTCGGAGTGAGAAGGGCGGGATATAAATGTAATGTCTCTAGGAGACCATGGTTCAAATCCCCGCTCAGTTATAGAAACCTTGGGAAAGTCACACCTTCTCATCTGCGGAGGGAGGCAATGGCTACCTGAATAAACCTTGTCAAGAAAGCTCTTAAGAGAGGGTTGCCATAAATCAAAACTGACTCATAGGCAAGTTTGTAGTGGCATCGGAAGTTTGCATTTTTCAGCGTGATGGTTTGTAATGTGGTGGCTGATTTGTCATGTAGGGCCTGGTGGTTTGTCGTGTGAAAGGAGTCAGTATAAATGTTGCATTACAACTCCAAGGCACCAGAGTCAGTGCACAATATTGAAAGGTTGGTGGTTGTGTTAGATCGGGTATGGGCAAACCCAGGCCTAGGGGCACATTGGATTCTTTTCTCAGGTCCTCCTCTCTCACACCATCCCATCCTCCCTTCCTTCTCTCTTGCCTTCCTCCTTCTCTCCCTCTTTCTCTTGTCCTTCCACTCCTTCATCCTTCCTCTTTTCTTTCCCTCTCTACTTTTTCTCCTTCCTTCTCTCTTTCCTTCATCCTTCCCTTTATCCTTCCCTTCCACCTTTTGTCCTTCCTTCCTTCCCTTTTTCTTTCTCTCTCTCTTTCTCCTTCCTTCTCTTTTGTCTTTTCCTTCATCTTCCCTTCTCCCTTCCCCTTCTTCCTCCTTCTGTCTTTCCTTCCTCCTTTCCCTCCTCCTTCCCTTCCCTTTTTCCTTCCTTCTCCCTTTTCCTTCTCTCTCTTTCTCCTTCCTTCCTTTTCTTTCCTTCCTTTCTTCCCTTCCCTTCCTTCCTTCTCTCTTTCCTTCCTCCTTCCCCCCATCTTCCATCCCTTCCTTCCTCCTTTCCTTCTATTTTGTCCTTCCTTCCTTCCTTTTCTCCTCTCCTCTTTCTCCTTCCCTTTTGTCTTCCTTCTCTTCCTTCCCTTCCTTCTTCCTCCTTCCCCATCCTTCCCTTCCACCTTTTTTCCTTCCCTCTTTCCTCTCTCTCTCTTCTTTTCCTTCCTTCCCTTTCTTCTTCCTTCTCTCTTTCTTTCATCCTTCCCTTCCTCCCTTCCCCTTTGCTCTTCTTCCTTCCCTCTTTTTTTTTTTTTCCCCCCTTTCCCTCTCTCCTTTCTCCTTCCTTTCTTTTGTCTTTCCTGCTCTCTTTCTCTTTCCCTCCTTCCCTTTCCCCTTCCTTCCTTCCTCTCTCTTCCTTCTCCTTCCCTCCATCCTTCCCTTCCACCCTTTTCCTTCCTTCTTCTCTCTTCCTCCCTCTTTCTTTCTCCTTCCTTCCATTTTGTCTTTTTTCCTTCTCCTTTTTTCTTCTCTTTCCTGCCTCCCTTCCTTCTTTCCTCCCCTTCCTTCCTTCTCCTCTTTCCTTCCTCCTTTCCCCCACTTTCCTTCCTCCTCTTTTTCCTCCTTCTCTTTCTTTCCCTTCTTTCTTTCTCCTTCCTTCCATTTTGTCTTTCCTTCCTTCTTTCTTTCCTTCTTCCCCTTCCTTCCTTCCTTCCTCCTTCCCTCTTTCTTCTCTCTTTCCTCCCTCCTTCCTTCTCCTTCCCTTCCACCCTTTCATCCTTCCTTCCTTCCTTCCTGCCTTCCCTTTTGTCTTTCCTTCCTCCCTCCTTCCCTTCCTTCCTTCTGTCACTGGGAAACCAGTCCTCTTAGCAGGGGGTGCTAGCATGCAGGTCCCCAAGTTAGAAAGATTGCCCATGTGTTAAATGATAGGCGTGTGCCCTCTTGTGGCTGTCTGTGGACATGCCGGTGTGCTTAGGACCGCATCACAGAACACGGAATGGGGCTCTTTTTTGTGCAGTTTTGCACTGATCGTAGTTCTATTTGGACATCTGTTTCTATATTAAAATCTTGAAATATTTAAATAAAAGGAAACCTTGAAGTAAATAGATATAGATGCATTTCAAGGTTTTCATTTTCCATCAACATTGGTCAAAATGCAGCCTTTCAGATACTGGGTTGTTGTAGGTTTTTTCGGGCTATATGGCCATGTTCTAGAGGCATTTTCTCCTGACGTTTTGCCTGCATCTATGGCAAGCATCCTCAGAGGTAGTGAGGTCTGTTGGAAGTAGGAAAATGGGTTTATATATCTGTGGAATGACCAGGGTGGGACAAAGGACTTTTGTCTGTTGGAGCTAGGTGTGAATGTTTCAACTGACCACCTTGATTAGCATTTAATGGCTTGGAAGTGCCTGGGGGAATCTTTTGTTGAGAGGTGATTTGATGTGCCTGATTGTTTACTCTCTGTTGTTTTGCTGTTGTAATTTTTGAGTTTTTTTAATACTGGTAGCCAGATTTTGTTCATTTTCATGGTTTCTTCCTTTCTGTTGAAATTGTCCACATGCTTGTGGATTTCAATGGCTTCTCTGTGTAGTCTGACATGGTGGTTGTGAGAGTGGTCCAGCATTTCTGTGTTCTCAAATAATATGCTGTGTCCAGGTTGGTTCATCAGGTGCTCTGCTATGGCTGACTTCTCTGGTTGAAGTAGTCTGCAGTGCCTTTCATGTTCCTTGATTCGTGTTTGGGCAATGCTGCGTTTGGTGGTCCCTATGTAGACTTGTCCACAGCTGCATGGTACACGGTAGACTCCTGCAGAAGTGAGAGGATCCCTCTTGTCCTTTGCTGAACGTAGCATTTCAGACATCAGAAGAGCTGCAAGACCAAGAACAAGCCATGAGAGTAGAGATAAAAGTACACCCAGAGGAAAAGTGTTCTTGCCATACATCAAGGGAACCACTGACCACATAGGGAAGCTGATGAGGAAACACAACATACAACATACAAATCACCTACAGACCCACCAAGAAAATCCAACAAATGATACGTTCAGCAAAGGACAAGAGGGATCCTCTCACTTCTGCAGGAGTCTACCTTATACCATGCAGCTGTGGACAAGTCTACATAGGGACCACCAAACGCAGCATTGCCCAAACACGAATCAAGGAACATGAAAGGCACAGCAGACTACTCCAACCAGAGAAATCAGCCATAGCAGAGCACCTGATGAACCTTCAGTTGAGTGAACAGATGATAGTCACTGGGTGTGCGATTGGGGCTGTGACATCCCAACCTAATAAAGTAAACAACTCTTGTGTTGCATGAGCAGTGTGCGGACGCGCATTGTCATGAAGGAAACGGACTCCCACCATCAGCATCCCACGACGTTTGTTTTGGATGGAACTGCGAAGTTTCTGACTTAGGTGAAGGGCTAGAAGGCATGATCATCAAGTTTGCAGACGACACCAAATTAGGAGGGATAGCCAATACTCCAGAGGATAGGAGCAGAATTCAAAACGATCTTGACAGATTAGAGAGAGGGCCAAAACAAACAAAATGAAGTTCAACCATGTCAAATGCAAGATATTCCACTTTGGCAGAAAAAACGAAATGCAAAGCTACAGAATGGGGGACAATGCCTGACTCGAGAGCAGTACGTGTGAAAAAGATCTTGGAGTCCTCGTGGACAACAAGTTAAACATGAGCCAACAATGTGATGTGGCGGCAAAAAAAGCCAATGGGATTTTGGCCTGCATCAATAGGAGCATAGTGTCTAGATCTAGGGAAGTCATGCTACCCATCTATTCTGCTTTGGTTAGACCACACCTAGAATATTGTGTCCAATTCTGGGCACTACAATTGAAGAAAGATATTGACAAGCTGTAATGTGTCCAGAGGAGGGCGACTAAAATGATCAAAGGTCTGGAGAACAAGCCCTATGAGGAGCGGCTTAAAGAGCTGGGCATGTTTAGCCTGAAGAAGAGAAGGCTGAGAGGAGATATGATAGCCATGTATAAATATGTGAGAGGAAACCACAGGGAGGAGGGAGCAAGCTTGTTTTCTGCTTCCTTGGAGACTAGGACGCCACAGGGAGGAGGGAGCAAGCTTGTTTTCCTTCCGTTAAAGGAGCATTCCCCAACTCTCTCTCCATTCTCAATGAGTGAAAAAGGCATGGCAAGGAAGAGGAGGGGCGGGGAGAAAAGGGGGAAAAGAGGCAGGACCGGAGGCGGAAGTGTTCTCCTTCCTTCCCTCTGTGATTTCCACTCTCCTCTTCCACATCCGGGCACTTCCTGCTGGGGCCTTCTAGCCCAGGGGCATTGCCTCACCTGAATCCTTTGAGTCCCAGTTGTTAGTATTCTAGGTGCCTAGCCCCGTGTTGGACGGGTAACAGTAGGAGACTCTGTATTATCCAACATTTTCTTTTATCCGACATTCTGCCAGCCCGTTTATGTTGGATAAACGAGAGTCTACTATATATGCAAAAGAGAAAATGCCTTGTAATGATGTATATGTAAAAAAGAAAAAGAGAGAGAACACAGAGTCTGAAGGAGGAAATACCATTGTTTATCTTTCCATCCTGTTTGCATATGTGTGTCTTTCCTCTCTTTTTTTTTAAACCAACCAACTTTATTTTTCTTTTGCACTTCTGTCTTGCATTCTTCCCTCTGTGTGTGTGTGTGTGTGTGTTCATTCATCTAGCTCCTGTCACAATCCATCGCCCAGCCATCAAACAGCGAGGGTCTTTGTATTCCAGGGTGTCAGGTAAACAGCACTCATGCATGGAGTGCAAGGTGTGCGCTAACTCTTTGCCAGGGCTTTCTGGGACTCCGGTGGATTGCACTAACACTCATTCTGGTGCGTTAGGGCGGCTTTCATTTGGGGATGTAGAGCAACGGGGAAGAAAGAGTACGGTACTATTCTGGGACTGCAGCCTTTCTTGGAAAAAATGCATATTGTGAGCTGAGTGCTGGACTTTGATGCCAGAGCAATTGAATCTCACCTGTGTCTAAGTTACTGGTTCAAAACAAAGCTCAAATGGGTATGATGCAGAGCTTGGAAAACTTTGCTTGTTTGGCACAGGGACTGCCATTACCAGAATCTCCACTAGCATTATGTATGCCTATTAATTGACTACAGCCTTTCCCCCAGTGTGGGACCCAAGGCAAGTTACAAAAGATTGTAGCGAGATGAGCTTGATGATAATAAAGTAAAAGCACGATTAAACAAATTGACATAGTAAAACACCATTATTATTATTGTTGTTATTATTATTATTTGATACACAACAATATTAAAGGTAAAGGTTTAGAAATGGAGATGAGCACCAACCCCCAGAGTCGGACACAATTGGATTTAATGTCAGGGGAAACCTTTACCTTTACCTTATGAGAGTTAAACAGAGGGCCGACTATATAGAAATATCCTAACTAAATTGGCCTGTGGATTCTGGGTACAGCAGTCCAGTCAAATTAACTTTTCCAGATTTGGCTAAGGTGTCGTGTGTGCATCTTTGAAAAAAAATGGGATAGGATGATTGTTGTTTTGCTGTTACGGTTTTCTTGATCTGATTTCGAGCAAAACCTTCAGAGTGGCCTTTGGCCCCTTAGGATCATTTGCTAAATGCATGTTAATTAAGAGTGGAGAGAGGGATGCTTTGCAGAGGAAGAGCTGCAGATTCTGCTGCCATCCTGGAAGAAGCTTGGCAGCGTGCAGCTCATGCAGCCTTGAGAGATGTGGGATAATCCACACACAGTTGCCCGCCAAGGTTTCAACTATTTTCAGGTGGTATCTTTTTGTGTATGTTTTGAAATCTGGAGTAAGGAAAGCGGGGTGCAGTTCCAGCTCATCTCTGTTTGGCTCTAGTTTCAGAGGTGCGCTCCCCGTCCCACATGAGCAACCTGAACCGCTCGGCCTCCCTCTGCTACCATGAGCGCTCCGACTCCATCTCCTCCACCTTCAGCGGCAGCAACAACCAGCTCAGTGCCAACACCAGCACCCAGTACATCTCCGACTTCAGTGTCCGCGCTGTCACTGACCTGCAATTCATCAAGGTGAGTCTTGAACAAATATGGGCAAACCCAGGCCTGGGGGCCGGATGCGACCCCTTGGGCTCTTTGTTCAGGCCCTCCTCTCCCTCACCATCCTATCCCTTCCTTTTCTCTTTCCTTCCTCCTTCCATCATTTCTTCGTTGGCTTTCTTCCTTACCTCCCTCTTTCTCCTTCCATCCTTCCATTCCACTGCGGTGGCACAGTGGGTTAAACCCCTGTGTTGGCAGGACTGAAGACCGACACATCACAGGTTCGAATCCGGAGAGAGCGCGGATGAGCTCCCTCTCTCAGCTCCAGCTCCTCATGCGGGAACATGAGAGAAGTCTCCCACAAAAATGATTTATTTATTCATTTATTTATTTGTCGTGTCAGGGCAGCCAGTCAATTATATTACATTTCTAACAGAACAAAGCAAACAGACAAAATACAAAATTTGTGAGTTTGGTAGTTGGTTAAATGTCCTTTGACCAGTATCTGGTCACTTGGAGTGCCTCTAGTGTTGCTGCAAGGAGGTCCTCCATTGTGCATGTGGCAGGGCTCAGGTTGCATTGCAGCAGGTGGTCAGTGGTTTGCTCCTCTCCACACTCGCATGTCGTGGATTCCACTTTGTAGCCCCATTTCTTGAGGTTGGCTCTGCATCTCGTGGTGCCAGAGCACAGTCTGTTCAGCGCCTTCCACGTCGCCCAGTTTTCTGTGTGCCCAGGGAGGAGTCTCTCATTTGGTATCAGCCAGTTCTGGGTTTGAGCCTGCCACTAAACTCTTTACAGCCACATCACACAGCACTTCATGCTTTGTTTGCTGTGAGCTGATGCTCAACTTTTGTATCCTGTTTGTTTTTGGATGCTCTGCTATATTTTAGGGTAGTTTTCCGTAACAGAAGCCACACAACAATCCACTGTTTTAGACATCTTTCTGTACCTGCTGCTCCCCACCTGTGTATCCCGATGTGTTAGACCAGGCATCCTCAAACTGTGGCCCTCCAGCTGTTTGACCCTTCAATTCCCAGAAGCCCTAACAAGCTTGTTCAATTGTCAGGAATTATGGGAGTTGAAGGCCCAAACAGCTGGAGGGCCACAGTTTGAGGATGCCTGTGTTAGACTATAATTCCCAGAAATGTGCCTGGATTCAGCTTTCTCTCTCGCTTCGTCTCCTTTGCAGATCACCCGCCTCCAGTACCAAAATGGTCTGATGGCCTCACGCCTGGAAAGCTGTCCCCAGTCTCCCGAAGGGGGTCCCCCGAAAGTGGACACCTCCTTGTCAGAAAAGGGGGACTCCTTGCCAGTGACCAACGAAACGGGTGGCCTTTTGAACGAGAGGAACTGCCAGCCCCACAAGATGAACCACAGCCCCACCGACAGCGTGGTCTGACCCCGGCCTCTGGGCGACCGGGACGGGACCCCGGTTCGCCTGAAGTGCATCTTCCCTTCCAAAGACTCGCCGGTGACCACAGAGAGGGGATTGGGATGCTCCTGGCCTCATCAATAAACCTCCGGTTGGGGTCACAAGCAAAGGGGAGAGACAGCTCTCTAGCAAACGTAGCGCTCTTCCCTCAGCCGCCCCCTAATCTCTTTCCTGCGGCAGGGTGGGTCCCACCTCTTTGAAGGAAATTATGGGTGCCGAGAAGAAGAAAACTGGTTCTGGATGTGTAAGGGAATCCTGTTTATGGAATGTTGGATCCTCCCCAATCCGGATTCACTCTGATTTGTGTTTCTGCGGGGGTTTGGGGAACAAAGGAAAGAGTTGGCTATCCAGTGGATCTTACAAAGGGAGCTCACCTGCTGCTGTTTTTCTACGCTGGCTTTTTACCTTCCATTGTGCAACGAACCTACGGAGATAATTTTCCGGCCGACGGAGGCGTCCCGTTCCAATGACTGGTCAACTCTGGTTCTCTCTTCCGCCGTTGACAGTGTGAAAGGGGCCTCCATTCCAGAAGACCATCGGTACAGGAACTGCGCAAACCTCATCAGGAGGAAACGAGAACGGTAGCCATAGCCATAAGCAGTTGTTTGTGGATCAGTCAGGAATCTTTTTCCCCCCATCTCAGGGAGTTCTGAATCTTGTATGTTGTCCCCAGTGATGTTCTATTTTAATTCTGTTTTTTAAAAAAGACCAAGCACATTGGGCATGGGGCAGAAATGTCTGGCGAGCCTTGGGCTCCGGGAGAAGGTTTCAAAGTTGGTGGGATTTGTCACGTTGCCTCTGTTTGGGGCCGATCACTATTTATTTCCCCAGGAAAATAATACTCAAGGTAACATAACATAGCCAAGGGATCATAAAACGAGTAACATCCCAGAGATGCTGGGATGAACTGCCTTGTCAAAGGCTTTCATGGCCAGAATTACTAGGTTGTTGTGAGTTTTCTGGGCTGTCTGGCCATGTGCCAGAAGCATTTTCCCCTGACGTTTTGCCCACATTTATGGCAGGCATCCTCAGAGATTGTGAGGTCTGTTGGAAACTAGGTAAGTGGGGATGTATATATCTGTGGAATTGTAAGACTGTAGGTTATATATAGCAATATTAAATGATCACTCACAAGCCGGTTTTGCTTGGAAATGAATATATTGCTTGTATCTCTGCAGCAAAGAAAGACACTACTGACTTTTTCCCACCACCACTTCCTTTTATTCCTTTTTCCCACCACCACTTCCTTTCCTGCCCATCTCCCCCCCTCTTCTCAGTTTCCTTATTAGAGCTTGTTGCTTCACAAGTTCCAATACAAGGTTTCCAGCGAGAAAAGGTAGCCAGGATGATTCAGTCAGGATGTCACGGAGGGAATTTGTGATGTCTTCATGCTATTAGAAATTGACTCCTGACAGGAATGATGTCCGGGGTGGGAGAAAGAACTCTTGTCTGTTTGGGGTAAGTGTGAATGTTGCAATTGTCCATCTTGACACCTACCCCAAACAGACAAAAGTTCTTTCTCCCACCCTGGACATCATTCCACAGATATATAAACCCCATTTTCCTAGTTTCAAATAGACCTCACAACTTTTGAGAATGCCCGCCATAGATGGGGGAGATACATCAGGAGAGAATGCTTCTGGAACATGGCCATGCAGGCCGGAAAACTCTGGGATGAGCTGTTTTAAACTTTTAGAAACATTTGTTTTGTTTTGTTTTTTTGACAGAAACTTCCAGAATTCTGGGAGATGTCATCCCCAAAAGGGAATTTTTCAAGCTCTGGAACCACTTCATATGGTGTGAATTAGCGCTTACCTGCCTTTTAGAAACAACAGCCAAAAGAAGGCTAGATTAGAACTTTTCTCCCCAATGTGCTTTTTTCTTGTCAAGGAAACCTGTTTGTCTTTGTTGGGTTGTGGGTTATTTACAGGAGGGAACATTCAGCAATGATATCCCCTTGTTTTTGGTACTGTCCCTCCTCTGTGTACAGACTGGGCCAAGGAAATGAATCCCAGGGATCCTATTTAATTAATAAAGGCTACATGAAATGATCCCCCCCTCCCCCCCGAGGCTTTTGATTTCAAGGTACCTTGTAGCTCTGCTTGGTCAGGCACAGAACTAGTTTTGGCAAAGGACTTGTGGCATCCTGTGCAGTTGCAGAATTGGACAGGGATTGTATTACTTCCTTGAAGTGGATGGCGGTCATTTTGAACGTCTTTCGAAGAGAAGGCAAACAAAATAATAATAGTGAATGTATAGAGTGGGCCCTTGGTGTCCGCTGGGGACGCAAATCTATGGACACTCAAGTCCTTTTATATATAACTAGAACATTGCCCAGGTTCTTTGAAAAAGTCAATTTTGTAATTGTACAAAATGCATAAGGTTGTGAGTGAACTACAATTCACATCATACCAGGTTAAACCCAAGAAATTCCATCAGTACTTAAAGTTTGTTATGTTGGGCAACTTTGCTCTAAATCAGTGATTCTCAGACTGTGGGTTCCCAGGTGTTTTGGCCTATAACTCCCAGAAATCCCAGCCAATTTAACAGCTGGGAGTTGAAGGCCAAAACATCTGGGGACCCACAGGTTGAGAACCACTGCTCTAGATGCATCATTGGTGGGGTTCAGAGTGCTCTTTGGCTACAGGTTAAACTACACCTTCCACTACGGTGAGTCAGTCCTCTTAAACCCTTCCAGTAGGTTGAGTTAGACAAGGGGATTCTGTGTAGAAGTTTGGCCCCAGTCCATCATCAGTGGAGGTCACCATTTTTCTGGTTCTGGGTGAACTACAACTCCCAGAAGGGAAGCAGAAAACAAGCTTGCTCCCTCCTCCCTGTGGCTACCTCTCACATATTTATACATGGCTATCATATCTCCTCTCAGCCTTCTCTTCTTCAAGCTAAACATGCCCAGCTCTTTAAGCCGCTCCTCATAGGGCTTGTTCTCCAGACCCTTAATCGTTTTAGTCGCCCTCCTCTGGACACATTCCAGCTTGTCAATATCTCTCTTGAATTGTGGTGCCCAGAATTGGACACAATATTCCAGGTGTGATCTAACCAAAGCGGAATAGAGCATGGGGAGCATGACTTCCCTAAATCTAGACACTATACTCGTATTGATGCAGGCCAAAATCCCATTGCCTTTTTTTGCCGCCACATCACATTATTGGCTCATGTTTAACTTGTTGTCCACGAGGACTCCAATATCTTTTTCACACGTACTGTTCTCAACCCAGGCATTGTCCCCCATTCTGTATCTTTGCATTTTGTTTTTTTCTGCCAAAGTGGAGTATCTTGCATTTGTCACTGTTGAACTTCATTTTGTTAGTTTTGGCCAATCATCTCTCTACTCTGTCAAGATTGTTTTGAATCCTGCTCCTGTCCTGTCCTGGGTATTGGCTATGATAATCCAATGATGGATCTGGACCAAACATGGCACGAATACTCAATATGCCCAAATGTGAACACTGGTGGAGTTTGGGGAAAATAGACCTTGACATTTTGGAGCTGTAATTGCTGGGATTTATAGTTCACCTACAATCAAGGAGCATTCTGGACCCCACCAGTGGTAGAATTGGGCCAAACTTCCCACACAAAACCCCCATGACCAACAGAAAATACTGTGTTTTCTGATGGTATTTGGCGACCCCTCTGACACCCCCTCGCGACCCCCCAGGGGTCCCGACCCCCAGGTTGAGAAATGCTGAGCTAGAAAATGCCTAAAGAGGCCACTCTACCTCCTTTCAGGTGTATGGACCAGGTGATAGTGGTGCAGCCTGTATTATGAAGTCCACAAGTTTTACACAATGCAAATATGGACCTTAAAACCCTGCTTTTCTTAAAGGGCTTCCCAGATCCTACAAACCATTCTCAGCAGTGTTTCAAATCAATGTATTGTCGAAGGCTTTCATGGCCGGAATCACTGGGTTGTTGTAGGTTTTTCGGGCTATATGGCCATGTTCTAGAGGCATTCTCTCCTGACGTTTCGCCTGCATCTATGGCAAGCATCCTCAGAGGTAGTGAGGTTTGTTGGAAGTAGGAAAAAAGGGGGTTATATATCTGTGGAATGACCAGGGTGGGACAAAGGACTCTTGTCTGCTGGAGCTAGGTGTGAATGTTTCAACTGACCACCTTGATTAGCATTGGTGGTCAGTTGAAACATTCACACCTAGCTCCAGCAGACAAGAGTCCTTTGTCTCACCCTGGTCATTCCACAGATATATAAACCCTTTTTCCTAGTTCCAACAGACCTCACTACCTCTGAGGATGCTTGCCATAGATGCAGGCGAAATGCCAGGAGAGAATGCCTCTAGACCATGGCCATATAGCCCGAAAAAACCTACAACAACCCAGTTTCAAATCATTATTTTGGGTTGTTTAAGCATCATCGTCAGGAAGTGTTAAATACACGAACGCTTGTCCACGGTATTAAAACAAGGCAATTGGTCACAAATTGAAAATGGACTTTGCAATAAACAGCGCCACAGGGCCCGTCCAGACAGTACCTTTAACCCAGGAGCTTCCGCAGCAAACAGGAGGCTGTCCAGATGCCATTCCCTGTAAACCCAGAAGCAATCGCTACAAAAGGCAAAAAAGTGAGATTTCCAGGTGCGGCAATATCACGGGTTTGAGCCGAATATGCGGATCTTTGCATGTCTGTATGTCTCTACAATCGGAAATCACAGGATTTTTTTTTATCTGGGTTTGTTCCTGGGTTTTATATGTTTGTTCCTGATTGGTCAGTTCCTAAAAAGAAGGTGACACTTGAGTAGAAGGCGAAAACTTTGCTTGTGTGCCAGAAACTTCATGAAACATTTGGAGGGCACATTTTCTCTGGCCATGACAAAGTTGTAGCTCCCTAGTCAATGTTGTACATCTTTTCCCAAGAAGAGCAATCAGGAACAGCCATGTATAACCCAGGAACAGCACCCTGTTGTATGATGCCACAAGTACACAACTAAATCTGTTTGTACAGATGGCCAGGCTCTAAAAAGTGTCAATAATGACAAAGTTCTGTTCCTGGCTTGTAAGTGTGTATTCCTGTTTGATTGTCCAGTATTGACTTGGGCAGAAGTGGTCCTACCCGTAAACTTTGTTTGTGTGGCGGATACTTCATGAAACATCTGGAGGGTACAGTTTCTCTGACCAGGAAAAAAGAACGGAACTTTTGCAGTGTTTCGCCTATCCAAATCTCCGTATCTTGAGTACCAGTTTCTGGCGGAAGTCCCGCAGTGGCCATCTTGGGAGCCTTTAAATCTTGCAACAAAGCATCAACTCTGGACAACAGAGGCAGAAATCCCGGGACCAACAGGTCTGTCTGTGGACCTCTTCCGAAGTCCCGGGATTTTTTGCCCCTGTTTAAAACCTGTGATTTAGTGCTGTCTGGAAGCATCCACAGTCTCCTTAGTGAATTTGTGGCAGCACTGTCACAGTTTCCCATAATGCTTGAGAGATGAAAGAAAGGCAGCATGAAGGCTATGCCTTCAAGAGCTGTTTCCTACAAAGGCAATTGTCTTGTTTATAGCCCTGTGTTCTGCAGACTGAGGCTGGGTCTACACTGCCATATAATCCAGTTCCTGAATCTGTTCTAGATTATGTGCTTTGAACTGGATTATATGAATCTACAGCAGGCATGAACAAACTTGGGGCCTCCAGGTGTTTTGGACTCCAGCTCCCACAATTCCTAACAGCCTAAGAGGCTGTTAGAAATTGTGGGAGTTGAAGTCCAATACACCTGGAGGGCCCAAGTTTGCCCAGGCCTGATCTACACTGTCCTATAATCCAGCTCAAAGCAGATCATTTGGATTCAGAAACTAGATTAAATGGCAGTGTAGATCCGGCCTCACTTTGCAGAAGTTACTTAGGCAATCCCTCGTTTTCCGAGGAGGATTGTCTTCCAGTATTCTTGTGGGTCCGTATGTGGCTGTGGAGCTCTATTCTTGCTCTGAATCTTCTTCTGCAGTGAGGGTATTGGTTTCCAGGTGGAAGGCGGTCTCGGTCGGGGTTGGCTTGACCCGCCTTCCTCTTGGCACGCTTTTCCCTTTCGCCCTCCATTCGTGCCACTTCAAATTCTGCAGCACTGCTGGTCACAGCTGACCTCCACCTGGAGCACTCAAGGGCCAGGCCTTCCCAGTTCTCAATATCTATGCCAGAGTTTTTAAGATTGGCTTTGAGCCCATCTTTAAATCTCTTTTCCTGTCCACCAAAATTCCGTTTTCTGTTCTTGAGTTCGGAGTAGAGCAACTGCTTTGGGAGACGGTGGTCGAGCATCCGGACAACGTGGCCGGTCCAGCGGAGTTGATGGTGGAGGACCATCGCTTCAATGGTGGTGGTCTTTGCTTCTTCCAGCATGCTGATGTTTGTCCGCCTGTCTTCCCAAGAGATTTGCAGGATTTTCCGGAGGCAGCGCTGATGGAATCGTTCCAGGAGTTGCATGTGACGTCTGTAGACAGTCCACGTCTCACAGGCGTATAGCAGGGTTGGGAGGACAATAGCTCTGTAAACAAGCACCTTGGTATCCCTACGGATGTCCCAGGATGTGCAGAAACCAAGGCTATGAACCAGTGGCAGATCTGCTACAAAAGGCATAGCTGATTTCTTCTCCCGCATTTGTTTCCAGATCACTGGAAATGTCTAAAGTGTTTATTGAATTTTTCATAAAAATATGGTGAGGGGGGATTATCATGTTTCACACATGCAATTATCACATTTCACACATGGATTAAGGGTTCCTCCGATTCTGTTTCAGAAGCAATACTCAGGAGAGTTCCTTCTTTGGCCCAAATAATTTTTTTCAAAAAAAAATACTATGCAAGAGGCCAAGATCCACGAGATTGGCCTCCATTTCTCCCTCTTTAAATTGATTTGAAACGATCTTCTTGGGATCTGTGTGCTTTGGGACAGCTTTAATGTCATTGGACTGTCATGTGTACGTCTCTCACGCGAATGTAGCTTTCTGTTTGACTTTTTGATGTTCTTGGTTGTGTGCGAGGATCGTTGGGGTGATCTTTCCCACCTTTACAAACTCTTACTGTGATTATTATTATTATTC